GATATGGTCTATCCTAGAGAATGTTCCATGTGTGCTTGAAATGAATGTGTGCTCCAGTCAGTATGTACCATGTGCTACGTACGTTGGCTAGGTCAAGTTGGTTAACAGTGTTGGTCAAGTTTTCTATGCTTGCTAATATCTAGCTATTCTATCAATTACTAAGAGTAGGGTGTTAAAAATCTCCAACTCTAATGGTTGAAATATCTGTTTCTTCTTCCCATTTTGTCAGCTTTTGCTTTGTATATCTAAGAATTTGATATTATGTTGGTGTGTCTGATACTGTCCCACAGTGATCTGAGGCTCTGTTCATTTTCCTTCAATTGATTCTTCCCTCTACTATTTTTTATCTGCTATTGAAGCCCTCTAACAAATTTTTCATTTCCAAAATTATACTCTCCAATTTCAGAATGTCTATGTGGCTCTTTTAAATAATTTTTATGTTCTTTACTGAGAATCTCTATTCATTGACTCATTGCTGCCACTCATTATTGCCAAACTTTAATTTTTAAAATACAGTTTCCTTTAGTCTTTGAACATATTTATATTCATTGCTTTGAAGTTTTTCTCTGCTAAATCCATTATCTAGAGACCCTCACAGAAAGTTTCTATAGACTTTTATTTTCCTGAATATGAGTCACACATCTCCATATTTTGCATGTCTTATAATCTGTTAAAAAGTTAACATTTTAGACAACATATTGTAGCAACTCTGGATTCTGATATTTTCCCCCTTAAAGTTGGTGGTGTTGCCTTTTCTGCTTGTTCACTTTTATTTAGTAATAGACTGGGTTAAACACATGAAATCTATTTTCACTGTGGCATGCAACCAGAATGTCTCCACTTTGTTATTGTTCTATGTTCTCCCCCCGCCCCCCCCCCACCCCCACCCCACAGCTTCCTTTTAGTAAGACTGGTTTCCTAGGAACTGCCCAGTCACTGGCTTTCCTCTGCTAACCTGCCTCTGTGAAGACAATGACACTGGATACTGTGTCAGTCACCACTGCAAACAGAAACAGCCCTTTCCATCACACAGAGCAAACTGCCAGTCCTTGCAGCCTGTTCCACACTGGCAGGAACTCCACACAGCATAGTTTGGGGAGTTTGGGAAGCAGCACCCTGCTAAACCACAAATTTCCATTGTTCTTACCTGAACTCTGGCATTTTTTCAGAGCATAAACGTGTCTCAGTTTACTATCCCTTCACAGACATCCAGAACACTGAAATGGCTGTTTTGTCCATTTTGTCCAGTTTGCTTTTTTGGAAAAGGATTTGCTAATCTCTTCACTTGGTCTTAACCAGAAGTGCTACCCCTACTGCTCTATTATATTTAAGCTTGCTTTATAAATATTTCACAAAGTTTTTCTCTAATGATTATTTTGAAGTATTTCAAATAAGCAAAAATTACAGAGAATATAATAAACATGCCTACCCACAAACTCAGCTTAAGAAATGAAACATTATAGATACATTTACTTCTCTCTGATCCTATTTCCTTTATTCCCTCTCCAGAGAGAACCATTATCCTAAATTTTGTATTTCTTAAACTTATGTATGTTTTTCTTCGTGTATACCTATATACATGTTCTTAAATTACTTAATTAAAATGATTTGCATTTTAATTTTATTCAAATTATACCTGACTATAAATATTCTTCTATAACTTACTGTGTCTGGGAGACTTACTCATGTAAATACATGTAGCTTTAATATATTGACAGTTAACTGCTGCATAAACATGCCATAATAAATCCAATCTTCTATGACAGACACAAGTGTTTTCAATAATCTGTTGTTACAATGCTGTAATGAATACTCTCATACATGTCATCCACACACATGTGGAAGAGTAACAAGGGTGTAAAGAGGAAAGAGAGAGAGGCTATCAGTGCTTGTAGAAGTACATGAAATCTGTCCACCAGCTCCCACATGGTTGGAGGTGAAATGTGTGAGAAGGGCAAACAGTGGTTGTGCTCTACCATAGGGATTCATGGTGTTCCACAGAGTCTACATTTAGAGTCATAGGATGCCTTACAGAAGGCTTCTATACTCTAGCCCTGGCATAGGAGGCAACTTGGCCTATGTCACAGAGCATGTCAGTGGAAAATCTGGGACTAAAACCTAGGTTTCCTTTACTGTCTTCTTTCTCCAAGCAAGATCTGTAGACCAGCAACATTAGTGACACCCAGAAATTTGTTAATAATAAAGACTCTTGGGCCATATTTCAGACTTACTGAATCAGAGTTTGCATTTTAGCAAGATTAGGAGATAGATGTTGAAGTTTTAAAGTTTGAAAAGTACTCTGGAGTATATATCTAGGAGTAAAATTACTTGATCACAGTGTGCAGTCTTTAACTATACGAGACAATGCCAAATTTTTCTAAGTATTGTACCAATTTACCCAATTTACTTTACCATATTATTCTGTCTATGAATCTAATCGTGGCATAAAGCCATTTCCCATTGCTCTTATGTACACCTCCACTGTTTGCCTTACAAAGCTTCCATTTCCTAAGAATATATCCTCAAACTATACCTGTGCATTTCTTTAATTTGTGCTGTTAAACACTAATCTGTGATAAAAAGTTACATGGGTCAAATAGGTTTGAAGAACACTAGATTAATCAAAATAAAACAGGTTTTTTTGAGACAGGTTCTAACCCTGTTGCCCAGGATGTAGTGCAGTGGTGCAATCACAGCTCACTGTAGTCTCACCTTCCCCCCAGGTTCAGGCAATCCGCCCACCTAAGCCTCCCAAGTAGCTGGGACTACAGGCATGCATCATCACACCCGGCTAATTTTTGTATTTTTTGTAGAGAAGGGGTCTCCCTATGTTGCCCAGGCTGGTCTTAAACTCCTGGGCTCAAGCAGTACACCTGCATTAGCTTCCCCAGGCTTAGGGAGCCATGATCGTACCACTGCATTGCATCCTGGGCAACAGTGTCAGACCCTGTCTCCTCCCACCAAAAAAAAAAGGAGGGTACCTGTTTTATTTTGATTAACCGAGTAGTTTCCAAAGTGCTTGCATTATAGGTGTGAAGCACTGTGTCCAGCCAAGACAGATTCTTTAAGACTTCTCAGAAACCCAAAAAAATATTAATGAGTAGTAGGGGCCTCTAAATGTGGAATACATTTTAAGCATTTTCTGAAACTTACTGTTTCCCCATGAGTCCTCTAGAAATATGTCTAAACAAACTAACATTTCAAAGAACACAGATGGGAAATGCTACAATGATACAGGCTTCCCATTGTTTTTAAAAACAAGTAATTAAATTTTTTTTTAAGATTTCAATTCCCTCTTATAATTCCCATATCTTCTCATACTTTTATTAAAAGACTCTCATTCTAGCTACTTCTCTGTGGTTTCGTGTAAGTAAAAAAACATTAATAAGAAAGAAAAATACATTTTGCTCAGTTGAATTTCTCCCTATTTATTTTTCTTCATGTTTTAAGTAAAGAAAAAATCAGCATGGAATGAAGCTACATTAGGCCCAAATTTTTAAATAGTTTTTCTTTCCTCTGAGACACCTGAGGAAAGCAAACCAGCACCTGCTCTGAAAACTAGCAGAAAAACTACCGTCTTGAGTCCCCTGTTTCCACATAGACGTTCAGCTAAATTAAACTGGCCCTTAATTTTCTTTTGGTTTCCTTGAATAAATAAAAAGTTACATGACCCTAGTGATCTCTGGATAGTGAAAAATCACACATTCTATTTTATTCTTTGTGCTTTTCTTTAGTTTCAGTTTTTCTACACTAAGCATGTGTTACTTTTGCAATTGGAAAAATTACACCTTACTTTTTTTCTTTTTTTTTTTTTTTTGAGACAAAGTCTTGCTCTGTCACCCAGGCCAGAGTGCAGTGGTATGATCTTGGCTCACTGCAACCTCTGCCTCCCGGGCTCAAGCAACTCTCCTGCCTCAGCCTCAGTAGCTGGGATTACAGGTGCCCACCACCATGCCCAGCTAATTTTTGTATTTTTAGTAGAGAGAGGGTTTTACCATGTTGGCCAGGCTGTTCTTGAACTTCTAACCTCAGGTGATCTGCCCACCTTGGCCTCCCAAAGTATATCTTACTTCTAAAAGGCTTAGGTTTGAAAGAAAGAAAGTCAGAGAACATTAAAGTTAATCCATCTGCACTAATCTATCAAGATGTGCAGGGAAGTACCAATGACTCTCAATTAAGGTGGGCAAGTCTTTGCAAGAAACTTGCTAAAAATAATAATATAAAAATTACACAATGAAAAGTTAGTTCTTTAAGTCAAACTCCAAAATTCTCCTGAATGCAAAACTAAATTTCATCTGATTTCCACGTAAAGAGACAGTGGTGAAACTAACAGAACATTAACAAAACTGGGGTATGAGCCCTCTTCTGCTGGCCCTTAACTGTTTCAGGCCCCCTCCTGGTCTGTAAGGTGGGAGAGAGCCTACAACACACATAGTTATTGTAAAGACTGTCTATAAAGATACATAAAAAGCTCATAGCACAGCGCCTGACATTTATATAGTAAGTGCTCAATAAACTGCAACTACTGCTATTAAAACAATTAGAACTATCCTCAGTGCTTCCATAAGAAATAAAGAAGCATTGTTACTACTGTAATTGTATTAATTACTAAGTTAGTTTCAACATTTAACCTGATAAACAGAATCCTTCCCAGACAGGTAATCCTTGAGAATCCATGACATAGCCTGGGTGAATTCTTCCAAATTAAATACATTATTTGTCAAAGTTATTAAGAAAAATGTAGAAATGTAAAACAACTAAGGATTTAATCACAGCCCATTTATTTAATATGTCCAAGTTTTACAGACTGCTATCATCATTACTTATGAAAAAGAAGAAATTCAACTATGGGAAGAAAACATCCATCTCAACAAACAAATGACAACACTAACAGGGTTTTGCTGAAAATTACATGGCTTCAGCAGAGAGAGAATGCTTACCTATAAAGCAATGATTTCTAAGAAGAAAAACAAAATCTACAACCCCCCTGTTTTGTTTACCTGGATGAGTCATGGTAACTGGCTCCTCTTTGGATTTATTATTGTAGATGACTACAGCAACTGCATTGTGGAAAGCAGCCCGTGATATTTTCTCTTTAAATGTACAGTTTCCCCTCTGCAGCAAGGCAATCCACTGTTTGATATTAGGAGGGACAAAGAACCGTGTTTGTGGATCACAGCCCAGATGATCAGCAACTGAAAAGAATAAGAAATACACACATTAAAAGATAAATAAAACTGACCAAGTCTTTATCCAAGTGTCAAATGCCTTCTGAATACCACACAGAGCTAAAGCTCGTCAAGCAGCTCGCTGCCAGCAACGCTATGAATAAATCCACAAACAGTACAAGGAATCTGAATCAGTATCCATAGGGAGAGATGCTCCATTGAACTGTCACCTCTAATGCAAATTAAAACAATGAAAATTTTTTAACTTTACAGATTGATAAAAAATTTAAAAAGACTGATAATATCTAGTACAAGGCGGTAAAGAGAGGAAGAAGAAAAGGCAAACACAGAAGAGAACGCCAGAAACCCAGGTGGCTGATCTAACCCTCACTTTTGCTCATTCATGTACTTGTACTAGGCTCTCCACACACACCCCACCACCATTACCCCCCAGTAAGAAAACAGGAAACTTAACTGGGGGCCAATGAGAAGCCAAAGTAATCCTTGATTTAGTTACTAAGTGATCCTGTTGAAATTCAAGCAGGTTTGAGCAAATTTCTTCATAAATGTCTAAGGAAAATTTTAAAGTTTGGTTTTAGCTCATATTTGAAAGTTGAAGTAGTTAAAATAACATCTAAGTAGAATAAATGTATTATTCCTCTAATTTATAATAGGAAAAGTCACTCCACAACTCTATATCAAGATACACTTACTGTATCTATCTAACAGGTTACAATAAGACACTAAGAATATTGGTACTACAAACTACACAGCCACTGTTCTAGATTTTTTGGGATAGTTTACTTAAAATACTCTTAAGTACATTTAAATCTGTCAGAGTTAAGCTCCTTAATTTTTTACTCTGTACATATGGCCATTGTGGTTCTGGCATTCTCTGCAAATCTTAAGAAGCCCTCGGCTGCTCTTCCCACTTCCACTTTCACATTTATAACAGGTTCAGATGAGAGAGAAGGGCAGTCTAGAAGGGGAAAGAAGTCACTAAGGTAGAGTCTGAAGACTGCTGGCACACAGTGGCAGAGGGTGCCAGCCCTGTGCCCTGAGTCAGCCCTGCCAGTCCTCTGTGTGCCCAGGAGGAAGCAAGGAAAGGGAACACAGAACATGGATCCAAAAGGCTGATGTCAAAGTAAATAAATCATAAAAACGTGGCGAGGTGTGGTGGCTCACACCGTTAATCCCAACAGTTTGGGAGGCCAAGGCAGATGGATTGCTTGAGCCCAGGAGTTTGAGACAAGCCTAGGCAATGCAGAGAAACAAAAACACAAAAAATTAGCTGGGTGTGGTAGAGTGCGTCTGTATTCCCAGCTACTGGGGAGGCTGAGGTGGGAGGACTGCTTGAACCATGAGCGCACCACTGAACTCCAGCCTGGGTGACAGAATGAGAACCTGTCTCAAAAAAAATAATTAAAAAATTAAGTATTAATTAAGTATGATTGTAGTAAAGAGAAGACACCAGCGGAGAAATGTGAGATTTCTATACACCGGGAAGCACAGGCTTAGCAAAAGAAACTAAATGCTTACACTACTTAAACTGTAAAATGTAAAGAGGTCACTACTTTCAGAGAAATATTACATCTATCATTCCCACATAAATATCTTTCTCCAAATTTTCTTATAATTATTGTGGTGAGAGACTGCAATAAGAGTATATTTGCTACCAGAGGTCTCCTAATAAGTGAAGTGGAAGATGAATGTTTTTACACTCTTTCATGGTTGATATTATTCTTTCATGATTGATATAGTATATAAGCATCACCTACCCTTTTCCTTAAAAGGTTTCTTCCCTCTGAAACTTTAACCCTTACTCAATCAAATTAAACAGGGGGATAGAAACCTATGTCATTTTAGGAGTCAACTATTGAAAGACATGTTCGATATATTATAAAACTTTAAAATCCTGAAACAGATTGCTTACTTTCTGTACTGGCAGCTTAGCAATCTGTTACAATAATCTCCTGTCTTAGGAAAATGTCTGATACTGTATCCAAACAGGGAGTAACCAAAGAATTGGTTTTAGATGTTTTGTTTGTTGTTTTTCAAAACATACTGTTGCACAAACCCTGGAAGAAAATGCAAAATCAGGAATATCTAAAGACATGTATACACTTGCCTTCTGGGCAACATTTAAGCATTTGTCTGTGACTTATCTCTTTCTCCCTGTGGTCTCACATACATGTAGAATGTAGTAAAGAGGAAACACCATAGCTATGGAATCAGCAAGACCTGTGCTCCAAGTTCTAGATCAACTGCTTACTAGCTGTGTAACTGTCACAGGTTACTGAAATTCTCCCATCTTTAATTTTTACTTATTTATAAAGATTGAGATATTCTTATCTCACAGAGTTTTACATGTGAAAAAGTAATTCATTTTGGCCAGGTATGGTGGTTCACACGTGTAATCCCAACACTTTGGGAGGCCAAGGTGGGTACATCACTCAAGGTCAGGAATTAAAGACTAGCCTGGGCACATAATAGGACCCTCATCTCTACACAAATAAAAAATAAAAAAATTAGCCAGGCATGATGGCACACACCTGTAGACTCAGTTACGCAGGATGCTGAGATGGGAGGATGGCTTGATTCAAGGTTACAGTGAGCTATGATTTGTCTGCTGCACTCCAGCTTGGGTGACAGAGCAATACTCTATCTCTAAAAAATAATAATTCCTCCATTCTTGAATGCTTTAAAAAAAAAAAAAAACTCTTTCCTTTTGTTTCACTAACATTCATCCTGTGCTGTCTTGGTGATCCAGTTTGGTGCCTTTGGGAGTTTCTGTGCCAAAATATGTGAGCTTCCCCAAGCTCAGCAGCACCCCACACCCCACTGTTCTTAGTAACTACCACTCACAGATCCCACGCCTCATCCTCTTTATCTCTTTCCTTTTGACAGTGTCACAGTTCGCTCAGAAGACAGCAGTTCAGTAATATTCATAAAAAGGAATAAAAAGACACAGCATGGGGTGCAATCACGGAGCAAAATTTATCAAATGTACTGCAGGGGGGCTTTAAAACTCTCCTAAAGGAATCCCTACCCACTGAGAACAGATTCTATGAACAACTGCATGATCAAAACAAAATCCAACAGCCTGTATAAGCAAAATAATGTTCCTGTTTCCCAAAATTCATCTAATCATCATCCATAAAAGGTCTCAGAAAACATTTATATTGGTAATACAATACACAATAAGAAAGATTAAGTAGGAATTTTGTGTTTTAAAAAATGGTATTTATTATTCAGAAGAAAAGAAGAGATTTTCATAATCAGGAACTGAATACTGTAGTATACTCAAGTTTACCTGGTTATTCCCTCCTGTAATTAAGAAAATATGAATAATGAAAACAGCTCTATAAAAACTTTCCAAGACTGATGATTATGGTTAAGTGGTATTACTCCAAAATTTAATACCAGTTGTTTACACTTGAGCAATTTATTAAGTGAAGACATATTATGGCATAAAATGTCTATGTAATTATAAGCCTTTAAAATTTGTCAATAGCAATTCTGCTCAAATTCAGAAAAAATATACTGATTTTCTTACCTGCCAAATTTTATAAGAGTATACTACCTCTGAATTATTTGAATTTATTAGTTATATAGCCGGGAAAAACTTATTAGAGGTTTTGATAAAAATTTCAAGACAGATAATACGAAATATTCTACTACAGAACTTAATTTTTTTTTCCTATAAGGCTTTTCCTGCTCAGTCCAAAAATATTGAAAGTAATGAGACTTATTCACCTCTTGATAGGAACCAAACAAGTATGGGATCCTCACCTCAATGAACAGTAACTAAGTACATAACAACATGCTAAGTACCAAAGAGAGATATAACGGAGGAAATGCCTTGCTCTTCACTCTTAAAGAGCCTCCACATTTACTGAGGCATCATAATTGGCAACAGCACAGAAGTCGATGATATAGGGTGCCAACACAAAGTGCACTTAGAGACTGAAGGAGGGAGGAGGGCAGGACGACCGTCAAGGTTCAATGTGAGCTGGAGCATACATGAAACCCCTGAAACTTGCCCAGGCAGGAAGGAGGGGGGTACATAAGTTGCCAGCATAAAAACAGAACAAAGACTAAAACTCTTCTCTTGAACTCTTGTAAAATAAAGTTAAGACGATATGCAACAGAACCTTCAACACTATACAAATTTAAGAAGATCAAGTTCAGAAAAGATCTCATCTGTAATGAGAGAAGGGGAAGAATATTCAGGTAATAATAATATGTATTTAAAGAGCTGTATGAATGAAATCTCTCTTCCACACCCCACCAGTCGGAAACTCCTCCACTTTGATTCGTTTGATTTGGTAAAACCTCATTTCTTAGAAATGTAAACACGCCACACAAGAAGCACTCACCATGTTATGGTATAAGCTAATGGTTTCCTTCCTATCCCGGAGAATTATCAGTCTACGGCATGTTGTAAGTCTTTTAAGGCTGGGGCAGAAGTGAGAGCCTAGGAAAGTCTTTTTCTGCAGTGATGGTCAAAACAGGTAGCCACATAGCACAGCCGCAAAGATGTGCCTCTCTCTCTCAGAGCCTGTGTGTGTCACTATATCCTCCTGAAATGCCAGTCCCACCACTCTTGCTCACCATCTTCTGAACCTCAGGATTCTGCCAAAATTTCTTCCCCAGAACGCCTTCCCAGCCTCCTAAGACTGAGTTGGTGCTTTTTTTGAAGTTGCCAAGGTACCCTCAGGTTACATCCATCTCGGCATTTATCATACTGTATTAGTAACTGGCTGTTTACTTCTAAGGCTTTCCTTTTGGAATGTGAGGTCTAGCATCTCCTGTGAATATGTCTGGCACACAGATGTTTAACATACTCAATGAGGGAAAGGGGGGAAAATGACAGGGAAATTAAGCCAAAACTGACATTAAAAATAGTTTGTGGCAAACAACTCTCTGTTTCATGTGGTTATATACTGACTACGGTAATGTTCTATCTGTTCTTCCTACTAAAGAGGTAAAAATAAAAACGAGACTAATTAGTTATCACAGATTTG